TTCTAGTTAGATCAGAAGTTTCGGACTTTTCAAAATAAAATGAAAAAAATTGCTGCATTACACATACTATTTGATTTGCGATAATTATGAGATTAAACGGCTATTGAATTTCGACGTTGAAAAAAAAACAATCGTCAATAAAGATTCCACGGGAACATGATCCTACTTATAAATTTTAACCTGATATTTAATTAAGGAATTACCAAGTCTTGTGTATAATTTAATATTTGATATATTTAATTTAAATTAAATCATTTGCATCTTTAACATATGTGCATGTAATATTGAAAACACAAAACGAACTTTTAGGCATAACCTAAACCTTACGTCACACAATAAAGAGTTGAAATATTCTAAGATATACTGACAAGAGGCTAAGCATTTTAGACACAATGTAAAGATACAATGGCATAACATACTAATGATTTGTCAAAAAGTTAGGAAAAATTGACATCATGTAATAGATTCCCATCGTCCTGTAGCATATTGATGACACAATGTAGTAAAGAATTGGCCACATGTGACAATTAGTTCAGATCATGTAATGAAATTCTGACATCGTGTTAAATCGACTTGATATTGAATTAAAGATAAATTCACATCATGTAATGAACTACTTAAACCAAATAGTAGAGAGTGCACATAATGTAATAATGAGTTGAAAATATATAAAAACATCTTTAAACCACGTAAAATTGTTTTGACTTAATGTCATAAAGAGCTGATATAATGCAATGGAAGATTGGCGCAATGTAATTAAAGTGCGAGTTAATGCCATAAAGACTAAACATAATGTAATAAAAAGTTGACATAACGCAATAGTAGTGTGTGTAAATGTCATAAAGAGTTGACATAATGTAACGAAAGATTGACACAATGCAATAATAGTGTGGACTAATGTCATAAAGAGTTGACATAAAATAATGGAAGGTTGACATAATGCAATAGTATTGTGGGTTAATGTCATAAAGTGTTGACATAATGTAATGAAAGATTGACACAATGCAACAATAGTGTGGACTAATGTCATAAAGAGTTGACATAATATAATGGAAGGTTGACATAATGCAATAGTATTGTGGGTTTATGTCATAAAGTGTTGACATAATGTAATGAAAGATTGACACAATGCAATAGTAGTGTGGACTAATGTCGTAAAGAGTTGACATAATATAATTGAAGGTTGACATAATGCAATAGTTTTGTGTGATAATGTCATAAAGAGTTGACATAATATAATGGAAGGTTGACATAATGCAATAGTATTGTGGGTTTATATCATAAAGAGTTGACATATTGTAATGAAAGGTTGACACAATACAATAGTAGGTTGAGTAAATATCATAAAGAGTTGACATAATGTAATGGAAGGTTGACACAATGCAATTGTTGTGTTCTGTTATAAGGCAGTGACGGCATTCCATAAAACCTGATTTTAATAATGTGTTTTTAGTTTAGTAAATCTTGCTTAAAAATTCGAAAGCAGGAAGGGGGGGAGCGCACACCCGAGGCACCGGCCCTAGATCTGCCTCTGATAAAGCGGCGTTTTTGCATTAGAAGTTTGCTAATGCTGCTCTCGGAAGTATTCCCTTAACGAAGCATAGACCGTATAATTGCTCGAAAATACACAAGTGTCAAAAATAGTTGAAAATATTGATAAGCAGAAAGATGACAGGGGAAAATGAAACTTCAACCATGTCTAGTGATTGTCAATAAACACACTGTATAGATTATTTAAAATAAATCCATTTATTACTTCTTCTAAAAACTCTGCAATTGATGATCGTGATAACATTTTGTTAAAACATGAGGATGATTACTTTGACGAAAAGAATATCTTCACAAGTCCATGCGTAAAATATCACGCGGTACCTCTTTATAATTTAGAGGTCTTCTTTGTTGGAGAATGTGTATGGAATGCCGCCGGACTGTCTTACATATGAGGAATAATCATTATACGCTTTATGTAGTACTATTATTATTTTAACATTTAACGCCCCCCCCCCCCGGTTGCTACGTTCCTGTACTTGGCTTTATATCTACAGGTTGATTAAAATATCAAATGCATAAAGTTTGTGTAAATAATTAATGAATTTATTATTTTACAAAATTATCGAAGTCAAACAATGAAACGTTACAATGTCAATGTATAGATCTAATTATTTACGTGTACCGTGATAAGCACACGGGCGCTGAATGGACACGCTGTCATTTATACTTGTACATGTACCTAAGCTTGATTATACCAGACGTCATGATTTCAAATTAAGTTATCTTTTATTAACAAAATATCAAAGCACTATCTGTAATATATTGTAAAATACATTTTTTTGAAATTCTCATCAATTAATAAATATTTACCACTTTATTTTATGAGAACCCAGAAGTGTTAAAATTCACAACGTCATTACGACGTTCCGTAAAATGTACGAAATTCGGCCATATACATATGCTATTTTGAAGACCTCTTACAGAAAATATGAAAGAGATATTGAAAAAAGAAAGTTGGTTTAAAAAAATATACAGTCTGTAGATATATCTAGAGGCAAAATTGTCCTATTTTGAAAACAGGCGAATTTGTGTACTTTCTGACTCATGCTCTTTGAATATCGTGCATATCTTAATATTTACAATTTCCAATGTCTTTCTTTATATGACTATACAAAAAAAAATAGAATTCAATTTTCGATGACATGCAGTCGGTCACATGATCTGACTTTCTTGCGTATGGAAAGCAAACTGCACGAGACATTTGGAAAGTCTTGACTGTGACGTCATATGACGTCGTATATGTAGTAGATGTATATTTTGTTAAATAATTCAATAAATGATAAATAAATAAATAAATTTAAGATAGTTAGATAAATTAAAATCTAAACTCTTTCTATTACTAATAATGTATTAAGTGTTACCCCCCACCCCTCTTGATCCACCTATACATTTCATACACACATTCATTCATTGGTTGAACATTTACATTTCATTGGTCAAGGGTTTTACATTATCTAGTGAGTGATTTTTACTCAGTTTGAAAGATCTAAGAGTTTCAGACGTAGAAAGATAGATCTGGTGAATTATTAAATTATTTTGAATTCTCACTGACTTACTGACAGAAACAGTACAGAAATATGTAAGTACTTAGTCTAATATTTTAACATTTTAATCTATATTAGAATATGAATTATGATACACATAAGAAACTAAGAATTTGATACTTTGTAAAACTATGTGTATAGAATATTTTATGTCTAGATCAGATGTTGATAAATCTGATAATTCCATATGAGTTAATATATTAATCAGATTCTGTTAAATGTATATAAGTAAATATTTTCATAAGAAATATTTTGGTGTAAATACAGAGTTATTGTAAAGAGCATATCTTTAGGAATTTATTTATTATTAATATAGTGTAACACCATATTCTGAAACATGTGGAAAGATCCATACAGTTTGTCAGATGGACTTGGTTCCACAAACCGGTATGCATTACTGTTTTATTATTTTGGTTGCATATGAAAGATAACTCTTCACGATTGTGGAAAGTAATTTTAAAGATGAAGCTTGTAAGAGTTATTGCCCTTTATTCATGTAAAGTGTAACAACATTCCATAGAGTGAAATATTCATTTATGACACTATTTGAATAATGACTCCTATGTATATCTACTATTATATTTTATTGTATCAGTATAATGTTATTGTGTGTTTTATATTAATTTCAGAGCCAATGTGATTGTTAATATATAAATTATGAAACCAGAAAGTTCTTCGACTTATTATTGCCGGGATTCCCGTTACATATATATACGTTATGTTGCATTCAATAACAAAGTCTAAATACGGCATTTTATCTTTGTAATGTGAATAGAAATAAAAATATAAATTTAAGAAATAAAATATCATTTTTAGAGTGTCAATGGGATATGACATGAAGTCGGTACGTGATGAAATCTAATATAACGCCCTTCGGGCGTTATAGAATTTGATCACGTGACCGACTTCATGTCATATCCCGATGACACTTTAAAATGACATTTTATTTCTTAATGGATTTCATAAGGAAAATTTCACTGAATGTAAATATAAGACAATGCGCTAGCACGTTAATCTCAACGCGCTAGCGCGTTAATTACAACGAGTTGTGTGTTAGCGCAAAGTCATGTTGTGAACAACGCGATAGCGTATTTATGTCAACGCGCTAGCACGTTTATGTAACTAGTGCGTTAATGACAACGAGTTGTGTGTTAGCACGTAGTCGTGATGTGGACAATGCGCTAGCGCGTTGACATTAATGCGATAGTGTGTTGTTAGAAAACAACAATGCAACCATACAGGAATACAACAATACAAGAATACAACAATAGGGGGTTGTAATTAACGTGCTAGCTCGTTGTCATTAATGCGCTTGTGTCATGTTAAGAATACAACAGGCAAATGCATTAGTGTCGACGCGCTAGCGCGTTAATGACAACGTGCTAGCGCGTTGTTCACAACACGACTTTGCGCTAACACACAACTCTTTGTCATTAACGCACTAGCGCGTTGACATTAACGCACTCGCTCGTTGTCATTTGGCTATTTCATTTGTTCCTGATCTAGGACTACCAATCAGAAAACAGCTTTTATTATAAGTAAGTTTTGTAAATCACAAAAGATTTGCTCGTGAGTTGGGCCATTAGAAAACGACGTATTTGAAAGCTATATTCTCTTTGATTAGATTATAATTACCCATTAAGGCATGTGTATCAACTTTTAAATAGCAACATACCAAATCATGTGAAGGGTTTGTGTGATTCTAAGGAATATTTTTTAATTGAATTAAATTGAAACTAGCCAAGGACTACTTTAACATTTATATCTGTATTTTGTGACCAAATGATTCTTAAATTATGTTTTACTTGATCAATCCTATATACTAGTAGACTATTCATCTTTTATCTCGAGCTAGACGAAGTTTTTTCCCCTTCATTTAAATATACGAGTCAATAGAACACATACAGCATACAACACCGACGTCTTCACTATGGGAACAATCTTCTTTTGTAAATCCATTATGCTGACAACTTGCTATGGACTTTTCTGGTCCTCTACAAGAGACATTGTCTAGAACTGTTGCTCCCGTCCCTTGTCCATATGGAGCGTTCTGCTTTTGAATCGCGCCATTCCTATTAAATAATTCAAAAATTGATAAATTTATCAATCGTAGGACTGTTATTAAATGATGAAAAATATTTCAGTAAACAATATTTTTTGTACATCTTATATACACTTACTCATAAGTTAGGGACCAGCACTCTTTTGCGAAAATCTTTAAACATTTCATGAAACTCAAACGTATCCAATTAAATATTATAATTTTCGTTTTAAAATCTAAGTAGATCTAATCTTTCCTTAGTCAATGCATGTTTCGAAATTATCTGATAATTAATTAGTTTTATGCAATTGATAATTTTCCAAAGAAAGGATTTCAAGTCAAAAAAATGTAGAATTTAAAGTTTCACTTTAATTTGTTGTTGACAAAAAATGCTGATAATTAGCATGTTTAACTTTATTGGTATTTAAAGAGACATCAATGTTGAACATTTTATAAGTATGGATGTTTAATAATGTGTATATCCACCACGACTTTTGTACAGTTCTTTCACACGCCTTCTCATACTCTGGACAGGTCGTCGTAGGCGGTTTTGGGGGAACTGTCTCCATTCCTGAATTAAAGAGTCTTTCAATTCTTGTATGTTTTCACATCTTGGGGTCCTCTGATTAATTTTACGACCAAGATAATCCCACACATGTTCAATTGGATTCATATCTGGGGACATGGCGGGCCAAGGCATGGTTTCATTGGCTTCTTGGCGAAGATAGTCTTGAACTATTCGGGCTTTTTTGATCAGTTGTCCTTAACTTTTGAGTAAATAAATAATTGACTGATTGTATAATTTTTCAGTCATATGTAGACGCCACCAATAGCCGGTGGATCAACTCCTTACTTCGCGACTCTAGAGCAGACGCTCTAACAACTGTGCCTCACGGGTGACCTTAAATTTATTATGTTCATTCACAGGAGTCTGAAGTTTTTATTGTAAAAAAAAAAAATCCGGAAAAAAAATTTCCTACCCTGAACTAAAAAAACCCCAGGATGGCAACGTGTTTTGGGGGACCCACCAAAACAAATAGATCTGGGCTTGGCCAGAAAAATCTCGCGACTTATTCAGTTTCCGGAGCGATTTTGTTATTTATTTTATGTTAAAAATTCAATCTGCTTGACGACTACGGGCCGTTCCTAGCCCCTTTTCCACTTTGACAGCTCATCCTGGACTCCATGCCACTAAACCGGAAGAGAATCTCGCAGTGTACATGTATATTTGACGTTTATAAAAACTTGTTCAAATGAAATAAAATGGATAATTGTTCAATGTAATTTTATTCAGTTATTTTAAATGTATTTGAGAGAACTTAAAAAAGTTATTTATTCTTTTTCTTACTTGTACGACGATGTGTACCAGGGACAGATTTTTTTTTTGTTTTTACAAGCGCCAAATTTAAATCACTGAAAAACCATGTCGACAAAGAGCCAAACAGTTAGACTAAGCGCCATTATAAAGCAGTATTTTGTTTGAAAAATATATCTTTTTATTGATCACGTATGGTAACATAAAATTGTACATGAAGTTTTACGTGCATTTTTTTGGTTCTTTTCTTCAATTACGTCATATATTCACCTCGGAGTTCACTTCCGGTTTAGTGGCATGGAGTCCAGGATGAGCTGTCAAACTGGAATAAAGGCCATGAACAGCCCGTAGTCGTCAAGCAGATTTGATTTCTTAACTTGAATAAATAGCACAAACACTCCGGATACTGAATTAGTTGCGAGATTTTTTCGACCAAGCCCAGATCTATTTGTTTAGGTGGGTCCCCCCAAAACACGTTGCCATCCTGGGGTTTTTTTTAGTTAAGGGTAGGAAAATTTTTTTCCGGATTTTTTTTTTTTTTTTTTTTTTGACGATAAAAACTTCAGACTCCTGTGGTTCATTTAAGTGTGTAGGCCTTTCAACTGCCGCTAGGGGTCGGTGTTATGAACGATAACTCACTGCTGAAACTTGTTTAGAGCAGGCTCGGGGTATCTAACTGTTTATACGCAAGGCAGTTTTTAGCATTTCTCAGGTGTTTCTTTGCTTTCAGTAGAATCTAGTGGTTTTAAAATTTAGCACCAATGATTAACTTATTTACTGTATAGTTGCGGACACCGGTTTACTGCAAATAATTAAAAATTTTTATTAAAATAAAAAGTAAAATCTACCCTCCTTCTCAGTTCTAACCTATTTAAATTTTTATACTCGGTCGTTCCCCTTCGTGCTTAGTAACACAAATAAGATGATCAATTGCTGCATTTAATTGTAAAAATATATATATTTACACAGGAAGCATTGGCGGATCCAGAGGGGGGGTTCCGGGGGTTGGAACCCCCCTTTATTTTTTGCCAAGTGGAGAGAGAGAGAGAATAAACGTTATCTGAGAAAAAATATTTGTACGTCTAACTTATGTATTGAATAGATAGATTCCCACACATTAAGTTTCCTCAATTCACCTCCATTATTACTTTTTTATGAGCGAATGGTAGAAAATATTTTACTAGTTTTTATGAAACTTACATATGATATGTAACATGCGAGGTTTAATTAATTTGATATGATATTCCCGCGATCTTTGGTTGTATTGGCTATATATATGTACCCTTTTTATCAAATATTTTGAAGGAACTAACATAAAACTCTTTGTTTTAAACCCCATCCGCATCAAGATTACACCCCATTTTTTTTTCAAGTTCTATAAGAAAATTCTTTTTTTACTCTAATTCGGAAATGCTGCAGATCCAATTTTATAAGGCTGAATTTTTGAAATGAGTTTGTTTTTTTTAATTCTGACTTGGGGTACCTTTTCAAAGAAAGAAAAGGGATGTAAACAAAGATATTATTTACCACAACATAAGATCTTTCAATACGTGTGTGAATCTTTGCTTGAGAGTTTGTATGAGGGGGGGGGGGTTGAGGGACACGACCCTGGAACCCCCCTTTCAAAAATTGCTGGATCCGCCCCTGGGAAGCGAAAAAGCGCGAACACAAAAAACATGACATTAAATTTTCTTCATAATAATCGTCAAAGAGAGTTAAACCTATTGAATATAGTCTGTTCCCCATTCATTTGACCCTGTTGTTTCAGGTAGAGAGAAGGCATTCTCTTTCTCTTGGTTAAAACTTTTTGTGTACAAAACAATGTAAGGAACCCTTTTGTGTATATAACAATACCATTGCTGAAGCAGCCTATATGTCATTCTTATAAACGATAACTCATAAATCGGCACTAAGTTGGTCATTTTTCACACCTGAGTTACCTGTCCTTAAACACAACATCGGAAAAGTCAAGTATAAATGATTAAACTTTTTAATGAGGTAATTAAAATGCATAAGTTATTATCTTTTTTGATAATTTTATTTACCTATAAATCTATATATACAATGTTTTTTACCATATGTGCAACTTGAAAAATTAGTTGAAAGGCCTAAAGTGTGTTGAATTTCTTGCACTTTTAAATGTACTTCTTAATAATCTTTGATGCAATTATTTCTAAATATTGTTTCCCGCAGTATTAAGACAGTATCATAATTTCCGACTTTAGACTGGTAGATTTGTTAAAACCTTCTTTTAAAATAATTGCATGAGTTTCTTAGCCAGAAAGAAAATAAAACCAACTTTACCATGTATATCCCAGCTGGCGACAGACAACTTGAGCGTTAGTGTCAGTGAAACCATCATCACATACAGTTCCCCAGGCGTCATGGTACTTGACCTCTACACGCCCTTCACCAGTGTAACTCCCACCAACAAGTCTTACACCTGATAAGTTTATGAATTTTTTTTAGAAAAAAAATATTAGATGATCATAAGTGAACGTTTTAAAGACAAGAAAATCAGGTTTCTCAAATGTACACAAAATCTTTCTACTTCAAACTCAAGTATGTTATCGTTCACAGCGTGTTTTCTCACTCTTTTTAAATGGAAAATTGAATTAAACTTATGACACTTCACAAACCAAAGCTTTTCACTTAAATGAAAAGGAAAATTCAACGTAATCATTCGCATAATATTGTAATACATCTATTTAAAGAAAGCAAATTGATGTTTTATTTAGTGTACTAAATTATTTAATTAATAAATGCAGTCAAACTTTCACGTGACAATGACCTTGTCAGCAAATACAATTTATCATTGAGTCAAATGCTGACTGACGTTTTTCATACCAATTGTGAGTCCATTATTTATACACTGAATTGACGACGGATTTTTTTTCCGTTATATCCTGATCATGACAACGAGCACACGGCGGGTGTGACCGGTAGGCAGGGGATGCTCACTCCTCCATGGCACCTGATCCCACCTCTGATGTTTCGGAGGTCCGTGTTTGCTCTGTTCTTATTTTGTATATTGTTTAATGGACGTTGAGATTGAATACTGTTCGTTATCTCCATATCCTTCTCATTACTAATTAAATTATAAATGTCACTTGATTCAAAGTATAAATCATTAAAACAAATTCAATTCGGGACTTACTAGAAACATATTCTTTTTCCAAAATATGAAGGCGTGAATCTAAATATGTTGTATTGCTGTCCAGTTGTGATAATATTTCAGAAAGGCTCCTTGTAATTGTAGATTCCCATTTCGTTTGTGAAGCAAATTGATTTGATGTTTGAAGTTGATCCTGAGATATTGTGGTTTGTAGAAAACTCAGTTTGCTTTGTGTTGTATTTAGGTCAATTGACAAAGTTTCGAACTGTTTTTCGTTCTTATATTCTAAGGCTGCGAGTGTTTTCAAAAAACGGTTAATTGTAGAGTTCACGTCTTCTTGCAAATCATACACATATAAATGCAGAATTGTTACATGACTTTTTAAATGTAATAGCATCTCAGAAACATTCCTTACATTTGAAGAATAGTTGTTTAATTGTGAAACCAATTTATCTGATATACGAAGTTGGTCTTGAGACACTGTGTTTTGCAGAGATAATAGTTCGGTCTGTGTTATGTTTAAGTCATTTGACAAAGTCACGAGTTGTCTCTTGGTGTAACGTTCGTTAGTTGCAAGTGTGTTCAAAGACTGTCTAATTGTAGAACTCGCTTCTTCTAGATCCTGAACGCGTGGATCCAGAATTGAAATTTTTCTATAAAGTTGATATAACCTTTCGTTCAATTCTCTTGCAGCTGAAGAATATCTATTTGAAAATGCATCGGATGGACGAAATTGTTCCTGAGAAACTCTGTTTTGTAAAGAATTGAGTTTGCTCTTTGTCACGTTTAATTCGCTTTGTAGAGATGTTATTTCACTCTTTGTCATGTATGAGTCATTTTGTAGAGAAGTTACTTCGCTCTTTGCCATATTTAAGTCACTTTGTAGAGACGTTATTTCGCTATTTGTTGTGTTAAAGTCACGTTTTAAAGATGATACTTCGCTCTTTGTCATGTATGATTCGCTTTGAAGAGAGGTGACTTCGCTCTTAGTCATCTTTAAGTCACTTTGTAGAGATGTTACATCGCTCTTTGTTGTGTGAGAGTCACTTTGCAAAGATGTAACTTTACTCTCCGTCAGGTTTAAGTTACTTTGAATTGATATAATTTCGCTCTTTATCATGTATGAATCGCTTTGTAGAGAAGCGAGTTTGCTCTTTGTCATGTTAACGTCACTTTGTAGAGATGTTACTTCGCTCTTTGTTATATCCAAGTCACTTTCTAGAGATGTTACATCGCTCTTTGTTGTGTTCAAGTCATTTTGTAAAGATGTTACTTTACTCTCTGTGATGTTTAAATCACTTTGAAGTGATGTTATTTCGCTCTTTGTCACGTATGAGTCATTTTGTAGAGAAGTGACTTCGCTCTTCGTCATGTTTAAGTCACTTTTTAAAGTTGTAACTTCGCTCTTTGTCATATTGAAGTCATTTTGTAGAGATGAAATTTCGTTCTTTGTCATATTTACGTCATTTTGTAGAGAGGTGACTTCTTTCTTTGTCATGTATGAGTCGCCTTGTAGAGAAGTGAGTTGGCTCTTTGTCATGTTAACGTCACTTTGTATAGCTATAATTTCGCTCTTTGCCATGTATGAGTCACGTTGTAGAGAGCTGACTTCGCCCTTTGTCATATTTAAGTTGCTTTGTAGAGAAGCGATTTTGCTCTTTGTTGTGTTTAAGTCTCTTTCTAAGAATAATACTTTGCTCTTTGTCATGTTTATATCACTTTGTATAGATATTATTTCGCTCTTTGTCATGTATGAGTCATTTTGTAGAGAAGTTACTTCGCTCTTTGTCATATTTAAGTCACTTTGTAGAGACGTTATTTCGCTCTTTGTTGTGTTAAAGTCACGTTTTAAAGATGATACTTCGCTCTTTGTCATGTATGATTCGCTTTGAAGAGAGGTGACTTCGCTCTTAGTCATCTTTAAGTCACTTTGTAGAGATGTTACATCGCTCTTTGTTGTGTGAGAGTCACTTTGTAAAGATGTAACTTTACTCTCCGTCAGGTTTAAGTTACTTTGAATTGATATAATTTCGCTCTTTATCATGTATGAGTCGCTTTGTAGAGAAGCGAGTTTGCTCTTTGTCATGTTAACGTCACTTTGTAGAGATGTTACTTCGCTCTTTGTTATATCCAAGTCACTTTCTAGAGATGTTACATCGCTCTTTGTTGTGTTCAAGTCATTTTGTAAAGATGTTACTTTACTCTCTGTGATGTTTAAATCACTTTGAAGTGATGTTATTTCGCTCTTTGTCACGTATGAGTCATTTTGTAGAGAAGTGCTCTTTGAGAGTCATACTCTCCGTCAGGTTTAAGTTACTTTGAATTTCGCTCTTTATCAGTATGAGTCATTTTGTAGAGAAATTCGCTCTTCGTCATGTTTAAGTCTATTTTTAAAGTTGTAACTTCGCTCTTTGTCATATTGAAGTCATTTTGTAGAGATGAAATTTCGTTCTTTGTCATATTTACGTCATTTTGTAGAGAGGTGACTTCTTTCTTTGTCATGTATGAGTCGCCTTGTAGAGAAGTGAGTTGGCTCTTTGTCATGTTAACGTCACTTTGTATAGCTATAATTTCGCTCTTTGCCATGTATGAGTCACGTTGTAGAGAGCTGACTTCGCCCTTTGTCATATTTAAGTTGCTTTGTAGAGAAGTGATTTTGCTCTTTGTTGTGTTTAAGTCTCTTTCTAAGAATAATACTTTGCTCTTTGTCATGTTTATATCACTTTGTATAGATATTATTTCGCTCTTTGTCATGTATGAGTCATTTTGTAGAGAAGTTACTTCGCTCTTTGTCATATTTAAGTCACTTTGTAGAGACGTTATTTCGCTCTTTGTTGTGTTAAAGTCACGTTTTAAAGATGATACTTCGCTCTTTGTCATGTATGATTCGCTTTGAAGAGAGGTGACTTCGCTCTTAGTCATCTTTAAGTCACTTTGTAGAGATGTTACATCGCTCTTTGTTGTGTGAGAGTCACTTTGTAAAGATGTAACTTTACTCTCCGTCAGGTTTAAGTTACTTTGAATTGATATAATTTCGCTCTTTATCATGTATGAGTCGCTTTGTAGAGAAGCGAGTTTGCTCTTTGTCATGTTAACGTCACTTTGTAGAGATGTTACTTCGCTCTTTGTTATATCCAAGTCACTTTCTAGAGATGTTACATCGCTCTTTGTTGTGTTCAAGTCATTTTGTAAAGATGTTACTTTACTCTCTGTGATGTTTAAATCACTTTGAAGTGATGTTATTTCGCTCTTTGTCACGTATGAGTCATTTTGTAGAGAAGTGACTTCGCTCTTCGTCATGTTTAAGTCACTTTTTAAAGTTGTAACTTCGCTCTTTGTCATATTGAAGTCATTTTGTAGAGATGAAATTTCGTTCTTTGTCATATTTACGTCATTTTGTAGAGAGGTGACTTCTTTCTTTGTCATGTATGAGTCGCCTTGTAGAGAAGTGAGTTGGCTCTTTGTCATGTTAACGTCACTTTGTATAGCTATAATTTCGCTCTTTGCCATGTATGAGTCACGTTGTAGAGAGCTGACTTCGCCCTTTGTCATATTTAAGTTGCTTTGTAGAGAAGTGATTTTGCTCTTTGTTGTGTTTAAGTCTCTTTCTAAGAATAATACTTTGCTCTTTGTCATGTTTATATCACTTTGTATAGATATTATTTCGCTCTTTGTCATGTATGAGTCATTTTGTAGAGAAGTTACTTCGCTCTTTGCCATATTTAAGTCACTTTGTAGAGACGTTATTTCGCTCTTTGTTGTGTTAAAGTCACGTTTTAAAGATGATACTTCGCTCTTTGTCATGTATGATTCGCTTTGAAGAGAGGTGACTTCGCTCTTAGTCATCTTTAAGTCACTTTGTAGAGATGTTACATCGCTCTTTGTTGTGTGAGAGTCACTTTGTAAAGATGTAACTTTACTCTCCGTCAGGTTTAAGTTACTTTGAATTGATATAATTTCGCTCTTTATCATGTATGAGTCGCTTTGTAGAGAAGCGAGTTTGCTCTTTGTCATGTTAACGTCACTTTGTAGAGATGTTACTTCGCTCTTTGTTATATCCAAGTCACTTTCTAGAGATGTTACATCGCTCTTTGTTGTGTTCAAGTCATTTTGTAAAGATGTTACTTTACTCTCTGTGATGTTTAAATCACTTTGAAGTGATGTTATTTCGCTCTTTGTCACGTATGAGTCATTTTGTAGAGAAGTGACTTCGCTCTTCGTCATGTTTAAGTCACTTTTTAAAGTTGTAACTTCGCTCTTTGTCATATTGAAGTCATTTTGTAGAGATGAAATTTCGTTCTTTGTCATATTTACGTCATTTTGTAGAGAGGTGACTCGCTTTCTTTGTCATTCTTTCTTTGTCATGTATGAGTCGCCTTGTAGAGAAGTGAGTTGGCTCTTTGTCATGTTAACGTCACTTTGTATAGCTATAATTTCGCTCTTTGCCATGTATGAGTCACGTTGTAGAGAGCTGACTTCGCCCTTTGTCATATTTAAGTTGCTTTGTAGAGAAGTGATTTTGCTCTTTGTTGTGTTTAAGTCTCTTTCTAAGAATAATACTTTGCTCTTTGTCATGTTTATATCACTTTGTATAGATATTATTTCGCTCTTTGTCATGTATGAGTCATTTTGTAGAGAAGTTACTTCGCTCTTTGTCATATTTAAGTCACTTTGTAGAGACGTTATTTCGCTCTTTGTTGTGTTAAAGTCACGTTTTAAAGATGATACTTCGCTCTTTGTCATGTATGATTCGCTTTGAAGAGAGGTGACTTCGCTCTTAGTCATCTTTAAGTCACTTTGTAGAGATGTTACATCGCTCTTTGTTGTGTGAGAGTCACTTTGTAAAGATGTAACTTTACTCTCCGTCAGGTTTAAGTTACTTTGAATTGATATAATTTCGCTCTTTATCATGTATGAGTCGCTTTGTAGAGAAGCGAGTTTGCTCTTTGTCATGTTAACGTCACTTTGTAGAGATGTTACTTCGCTCTTTGTTATATCCAAGTCACTTTCTAGAGATGTTACATCGCTCTTTGTTGTGTTCAAGTCATTTTGTAAAGATGTTACTTTACTCTCTGTGATGTTTAAATCACTTTGAAGTGATGTTATTTCGCTCTTTGTCACGTATGAGTCATTTTGTAGAGAAGTGACTTCGCTCTTCGTCATGTTTAAGTCACTTTTTAAAGTTGTAACTTCGCTCTTTGTCATATTGAAGTCATTTTGTAGAGATGAAATTTCGTTCTTTGTCATATTTACGTCATTTTGTAGAGAGGTGACTTCTTTCTTTGTCATGTATGAGTCGCCTTGTAGAGAAGTGAGTTGGCTCTTTGTCATGTTAACGTCACTTTGTATAGCTATAATTTCGCTCTTTGCCATGTATGAGTCACGTTGTAGAGAGCTGACTTCGCCCTTTGTCATATTTAAGTTGCTTTGTAGAGAAGTGATTTTGCTCTTTGTTGTGTTTAAGTCTCTTTCTAAGAATAATACTTTGCTCTTTGTCATGTTTATATCACTTTGTATAGATATTATTTCGCTCTTTGTCATGTATGAGTCATTTTGTAGAGAAGTTACTTCGCTCTTTGTCATATTTAAGTCACTTTGTAGAGACGTTATTTCGCTCTTTGTTGTGTTAAAGTCACGTTTTAAAGATGATACTTCGCTCTTTGTCATGTATGATTCGCTTTGAAGAGAGGTGACTTCGCTCTTAGTCATCTTTAAGTCACTTTGTAGAGATGTTACATCGCTCTTTGTTGTGTGAGAGTCACTTTGTAAAGATGTAACTTTACTCTCCGTCAGGTTTAAGTTACTTTGAATTGATATAATTTCGCTCTTTATCATGTATGAGTCGCTTTGTAGAGAAGCGAGTTTGCTCTTTGTCATGTTAACGTCACTTTGTAGAGATGTTACTTCGCTCTTTGTTATATCCAAGTCACTTTCTAGAGATGTTACATCGCTCTTTGTTGTGTTCAAGTCATTTTGTAAAGATGTTACTTTACTCTCTGTGATGTTTAAATCACTTTGAAGTGATGTTATTTCGCTCTTTGTCACGTATGAGTCATTTTGTAGAGAAGTGACTTCGCTCTTCGTCATGTTTAAGTCACTTTTTAAAGTTGTAACTTCGCTCTTTGTCATATTGAAGTCATTTTGTAGAGATGAAATTTCGTTCTTTGTCATATTTACGTCATTTTGTAGAGAGGTGACTTCTTTCTTTGTCATGTATGAGTCGCCTTGTAGAGAAGTGAGTTGGCTCTTTGTCATGTTAACGTCACTTTGTATAGCTATAATTTCGCTCTTTGCCATGTATGAGTCACGTTGTAGAGAGCTGACTTCGCCCTTTGTCATATTTAAGTTGCTTTGTAGAGAAGTGATTTTGCTCTTTGTTGTGTTTAAGTCTCTTTCTAAGAATAATACTTTGCTCTTTGTCATGTTTATATCACTTTGTATAGATATTATTTCGCTCTTTGTCATGTATGAGTCATTTTGTAGAGAAGTTACTTCGCTCTTTGTCATATTTAAGTCACTTTGTAGAGACGTTATTTCGCTCTTTGTTGTGTTAAAGTCACGTTTTAAAGATGATACTTCGCTCTTTGTCATGTATGATTCGCTTTGAAGAGAGGTGACTTCGCTCTTAGTCATCTTTAAGTCACTTTGTAGAGATGTTACATCGCTCTTTGTTGTGTGAGAGTCACTTTGTAAAGATGTAACTTTACTCTCCGTCAGGTTTAAGTTACTTTGAATTGATATAATTTCGCTCTTTATCATGTATGAGTCGCTTTGTAGAGAAGCGAGTTTGCTCTTTGTCATGTTAACGTCACTTTGTAGAGATGTTACTTCGCTCTTTGTTATATCCAAGTCACTTTCTAGAGATGTTACATCGCTCTTTGTTGTGTTCAAGTCATTTTGTAAAGATGTTACTTTACTCTCTGTGATGTTTAAATCACTTTGAAGTGATGTTATTTCGCTCTTTGTCACGTATGAGTCATTTTGTAGAGAAGTGACTTCGCTCTTCGTCATGTTTAAGTCACTTTTTAAAGTTGTAACTTCGCTCTTTGTCATATTGAAGTCATTTTGTAGAGATGAAATTTCGTTCTTTGTCATATTTACGTCATTTTGTAGAGAGGTGACTTCTTTCTTTGTCATGTATGAGTCGCCTTGTAGAGAAGTGAGTTGGCTCTTTGTCATGTTAACGTCACTTTGTATAGCTATAATTTCGCTCTTTGCCATGTATGAGTCACGTTGTAGAGAGGTGACTTCGCCCTTTGTCATATTTAAGTTGCTTTGTAGAGAAGTGATTTTGCTCTTTGTTGTGTTTAAGTCTCTTTCTAAGAATAATACTTTGCTCTTTGTCATGTTTATATCACTTTGTATAGATATTATTTCGCTCTTTGTCATGTATGAGTCATTTTGTAGAGAAGTTACTTCGCTCTTTGTCATATTTAAGTCACTTTGTAGAGACGTTATTTCGCTCTTTGTTGTGTTAAAGTCACGTTTTAAAGATGATACTTCGCTCTTTGTCATGTATGATTCGCTTTGAAGAGAGGTGACTTCGCTCTTAGTCATCTTTAAGTCACTTTGTAGAGATGTTACATCGCTCTTTGTTGTGTGAGAGTCACTTTGTAAAGATGTAACTTTACTCTCCGTCAGGTTTAAGTTACTTTGAATTGATATAATTTCGCTCTTTATCATGTATGAGTCGCTTTGTAGAGAAGCGAGTTTGCTCTTTGTCATGTTAACGTCACTTTGTAGAGATGTTACTTCGCTCTTTGTTATATCCAAGTCACTTTCTAGAGATGTTACATCGCTCTTTGTTGTGTTCAAGTCATTTTGTAAAGATGTTACTTTACTCTCTGTGATGTTTAAATCACTTTGAAGTGATGTTATTTCGCTCTTTGTCACGTATGAGTCATTTTGTAGAGAAGTGACTTCGCTCTTCGTCATGTTTAAGTCACTTTTTAAAGTTGTAACTTCGCTCTTTGTCATATTGAAGTCATTTTGTAGAGATGAAATTTCGTTCTTTGTCATATTTACGTCATTTTGTAGAGAGGTGACTTCTTTCTTTGTCATGTATGAGTCGCTTTGTAGAGAAGTGAGTTGGCTCTTTGTCATGTTAACGTCACTTTGTATAGCTATAATTTCGCTCTTTGCCATGTATGAGTCACGTTGTAGAGAGGTGACTTCGCCCTTTGTCATATTTAAGTTGCTTTGTAGAGAAGTGATTTTGCTCTTTGTTGTGTTTAAGTCTCTTTCTAAAAATAATACTTTGCTCTTTGTCATGTTTATATCACTTTGTATAGATATTATTTCGCTCTTTGTCATGTATGAGTCATTTTGTAGAGAAGCTACTTCGCTCTTTGTCATATTTAAGTCACTTTGTAGAGACGTTATTTCGCTCTTTGTTGTGTTAAAGTCACGTTTTAAAGATGATACTTCGCTCTTTGTCATGTATGAGTCGCTTTGAAGAGAGGTGACTTCGCTCTTAGTCATCTTTAAGTCATTTTGTAGAGATGTTACATCGCTCTTTGTTGTGTGAGAGTCACTTTGTAAAGATGTAACTTTAATCTCCGTCAGGTTTAAGTTACTTTGAATTGATATAATTTCGCTCTTTATCATGCATGAGTCGCTTTGTAGAGATGCGAGTTTGCTCTTTGTCATGTTAACGTCACTTTGTAAAGATGTTATTTCGCTCTTTGTTATATCCAAGTCACTTTGTAGAGATGTTACATCGCTCTTTGTTGTGTTCCAGTCATTTTGTAAAGATGTTACTTTACTCTCTGTGATGTTTAAATCACTTTGAAGTGATGTTATTTCGCTCTTTGTCACGTATGAGTCATTTTGTAGAGAAGTGACTTCGCTCTTCGTCATGTTTAAGTCACTTTTTAAAGTTGTAACTTCGCTCTTTGTCACATGGAAGTCATTTTGTAGAGATGAAATTTCGTTCTTTGTCATATTTACGTCATTTTGTAGAGAGGTGACTTCTTTCTTTGTCATGTATGAGTCGCTTTGTAGAGAAGTGAGTTGGCTCTTTGTCATGTTAACGTCACTTTGTATATATATTATTTCGCTCTTTGTCATGTATGAGTTACTTTGTAGAGAGGTGACTTCGCCCTTTGTCATATTTAAGTTGCTTTGTAGAGAAGTGATTTTGCTCTTTGTTGTGTTTAAGTCTCTTTCTAAAAATAATACTTTGCTCTTTGTCATGTTTATATCACTTTGTATAGATATTATTTCGCTCTTTGTCATGTATGAGTCATTTTGTAGAGAAGTGACTTCACTCTTTGCCATATTTAAGTCACGTTGTAGAGACGTTATTTCGCTCTTTGTTGTGTTAAAGTCACGTTTTAAAGATGATACTTCGCTCTTTGTCATGTATGAGTCGCTTTGAAGAGAGGTGACTTCGCTCTTAGTCATATTTAAGTCACTTTGTAGAGATGTTACATCGCTCTTTGTTGTGTGAGAGTCACTTTGTAAAGATGTAACTTTACTCTCCGTCAGGTTTAAGTTACTTTGAATTGATATAATTTCGCTCTTTATCATGCATGAGTCGCTTTGTAGAGAAGCGAGTTTGCTCTTTGTCATGTTAACGTCACTTTGAAGAGATATTACATCGCTCTTTGTTGTGTTCAAGTCACTTTGTAGAGATGTTAGTTCACTTTTTGTCATGTGTAAGACGATTTGTAGAGATGTTAGTTCACTTTTTGTCATGTGTAAGTCGCTTGACACAAAGTCAATATGTTTCTCATTGTCCCGTTCTTGCGCAGAGAGAGTTCTAAAAGATTTCTCAATTGCAGAAATAGATTTGATATTGGATGCTACCTGATCGGCTGTTTTCTGAAGAGAATTGGAGAAATTCTGATCTATTGTTTCAATTTTTTTATTGAATTTTGTATCCAGATAATTTATCTTATCTTCCTGTTTGGTCATTGACGATGAAAGTGCTTGAACAGCGCCGAACTTGTTACTGAGCTGGATTGTAAGAGCAACGATAAGTGGAATTTCCTTTCTTAGACTATTTAACAAAGGGGACTGCTGCGTGATTTTTATTAGATGTTGAATCAAATTAGCTTGATTTTCAAACGTTTCATTTTCCATTTGGTTCTGCAAAAGGTCCATAATTTGAAGCATGTCGGTAACAGCATTTGCCTCCTTATTAGACGAGTACAACGTAGGTGATTGCTTTGTGTTAGTAAGAGAACAATAAATAGGGGTGTTTTCGATAAAAACGACAAATACAAACGCCCACGAGAAAAGGAACATTTTGTGATTATGTTCTCCCTGAAAAAAAAGAATAAATGTTAATCAATATTAGAAAATACAAATTAAACTGAATTCTTTATTTCATATAACTTTATATTGATGAACTAGTTTTTGGTATTATTTTATTGCACATTTAAAATGATAAGTCATGAAATTCAATTATATTTATTTGATTTTAACAGTTGAACTGTGGTTCTCTATATTCGGATAGAAAACAGAGAGACAGAGAGAGATTCAACATTGTAAAGACCTTCGATTTACCATCGAATATGGTTTTCTTTTTTCTTGTATTGTACGCATTCACCCTCCAAAAACATGGCATCATTAAATAAACCATGTATTCTACTCGTTATTTAGTTGCCTTTTTATCCCCTCGTAACGGAGTTGGGACGCGCTTGGGTGAGTGAGGGTTTTCTTGTGCGTTTGGCATTTAGTGATATGCAAAACGCAAGTGCTTTGTTTTCCTTTCAACCATTCTAAACAAATCATTTAATTCAAGATAACATACGAGCGTTCTTCGAAAAGTTCGTGGACAACGGCCATATCTTTTTTATTTGACGTCATATGTTATCCAAATTTGGTAAAAGTATTTCTAAAATAAATCCAAATAATTTGTATATATGATATTAATATTTATTCAAAACTTATCAAGATTTTAAAAATGCAATAATTGGACCGCGGAGTAGGTCAAAATTTAGTTAAGTTACAGACAATACCCAATATAATGTCTGTAGTCATATTCTTTGTAAAGTGGCGTAAAAACGAAAAACAAACTAGAAATTCAAAGAAAGAATTGTTACCATGAAATCAAATTGTTACCATGAAATCAAATTGAGAAGATCGGTAGTCTTCATTAAAAACGACAAAAATGATGACGTTTTAGAACGTCACGGAGCAGCAGATAACGATGCACTTTGAGTTTTACTCAAGAAAAACCTACAATAAACTCTAAAAATGTTAGAAGAATCGAGAAAATATGTGACAAGCGAGTTATGCATGTGTGTACAAATACTAGTAGTACAGGTAGTATCTGAGTGACAGACACTCTGTATTGGATGAGAACCTGTGAAGCTTAGGTCTAACTGTTAAAATCTGAATAAAAACTTTAAAAAGTTGGAACGTCAAGGAAAGACATAGGCGCTTCAGAATTGCGTATGCAGATTTTAGTAAAAAAAAACAATGAAATTCTAACAAAGGAAATTATACAACGAGAACAATTCTTAAAAAATAAATGTCAAGTATAAAAAAAAATTGGGCATTGGATTATATTGTGTGAGATTTAAAGGGATAGTTTTTTTAGTTGGTTTTGATATGAAGTAAATTGATTTCTGTTAAATCGAATGGCATGAAACTTCACACATCAACAAAACAAATATTTTTACATATAATATTGTGCTTAGTTTAAATTTCTGGTGAGTAATGTAATGAAGATTGACAACGTCCACGAACTTTTCGAACAACCCTCGTATATTAAGAAAGATACCATTTTATTCTCTTTTTTTTTTTTTTTTTGTAAAATAAAGCTTTTGATAATAAATTGAAATCATCACTGTCAACACGATATACAGAGAATATGAGATAGGAATGGTATATATATACATGAAACTCTCATCATGCTGTAGTAATGACAAGAGCATGTTAAGCATGGAGTATTTAAATTGTTTTTACGGAAGAAAATAGATATTACAAGATTGGCAAACAATGAATAATTAAAGTATTAAAGCAATAAATCTGTTTTTAAAAAGTTAAATTTTGAGAAAAAGATGTTAGCTTAATCATTATAAACTTAAGCTCACCGAGTTCAGCAATAAAAAATATTCAACTGATTCTCCAAGAGACACAGAACATCGACGGATGAAGAAAAAAGCAAAACCGTCTTCAGATCATCCAAAGAATAAGCTAACAATGACATACACATTCACATATAGTTTGCTTGATATGGAAACAGAGTGGCTTGTCCTTTCAGACATGTTTTGTTTCTTACAATCCTAGGAGCTGATGAATCATTTAACTAATTTTTACTTTTTTTCAATTTTTTGCGTATATAACATAAAGGGAATCTTATATCTAATTTTTAATGAACGGGCCAATACATTGAATTAATTCTTATCATCTATGACTGCAGGTATATTTGAAGATGCATGTATTTTGTTTTCCACGCTTTACTATCTATCATTAAATAAGTAACCTTCGACACAATTTGCTAAGCAATGCTGATAAATTTTGTCGAGTGCATTTTTCAAAGAAGCGGGAAAATGTGGTTGATTGCAGGAGTCAAGTTCTCATGCACAGCTCATTTACTTTGAAAATCTGTTTTTATTCAAAGTCGAACTGCTATAAGTAATGTTTTAATAAAAATTATGAGATTTCGTTTTATTTTTATCTTGTTTTTCGAATTTGAATTGCTTTTCTCATGATGTCCGTACGATGGGTAAGTGAAAAGAATTTAAAGAATTAGGAAAGCAAAAATAAAACAAACAAACAAAAACCAAGATGTGTTTGTGAAACACAGATGGCAATATAGCGAAGGTTAAGCTTTCTCAAATTCAAATCAAACACTTTATAAAGGAAATTTTGAAATTGCTCAAATGATTGTTGATTGAACGTCTAAATTGATAATGTATTTATAATGCATAAAAGTTGAATACATTCATAAATTAGAAAAACGATATATTTTGAAACCTGTCTAATCCGACACCTGTGAATTCTGACAATAAATGTCATTCGTATTTTACTATTTTCATTTTTTCTTTCCACAGTGCAATGTCCGACACCTTGCAATCACGTAGCAACAGGGGGGGGGGTGCTGCCCCCCCCCCCACTTTTTTCCCAACATTAGTTATACTAGTTATAATAAAGGAATTGTTCATTGAAAGGTTGGTTGACCCCCCAACTGTTAGTGATATAAGGAAATTGTAGTTTAAGCCTTTTACCCACCCACCCACTAGTGATGGAACGATTTTACGTGTTTACACCGCGGCGGGGCCAGCTACCGTTATTCTTCAGCTAAGATGTTCTTACCTGTAAGGTATTGTCGATTTTTAATCGTGTCGAAATGAGGGGGGGGGGGATTACGATTATCATAGCTAGTATTTGAATGTATTTCTATTTTCTGCTCTTTTCGAAAATTACTAAAATCATGTCAATGAACATAAACAAATTTCAGATTTCTCCGGTTCAAATAAAACACAAAAACTTAAAATATTTGAACACACAACACAGAAATTAACTTATTTTAATCAGCAAGTTGCCAAGCTTCAAGTTTTCAGATGTCTGTGTTACCGTTCGGTTTTCCTCAGGTAAGTTTGGTGTGGAGTGGAGCTTACTCGAAGCGGATGAGAAGCCCCGAGGGAACGACGCTGTCTAGTGTACATACTACCTATATACACAGGATGTTACCTGAGTGTATTACCTGTATGCGTTTTCCTATGACATTGTAAAACGAAGCCGTTTTTTTTTCATGTGTAGCTCATGGATTGAAATGCATGAAATGAAGAATTCAATGTTTTTGTTGCAGACAGAATACTTTTTAAATTTTTTGTTTCAAATAAATATTTTTAATAATTCGACAATTTTAATATACTGTGTTTTTCGTAATCAAATTTTATAACAAAAATACATTTTTTACCACCAAAATCTGTCGTTGTAATCTGGCGACAAAAAAGGAAGTAATTCAAATGACATGTCATGTACATATGCTATACGAAAGAAGAAAGTGGATCATAATCAAGTCTCTCGATAAATAACAATAAAACTTAGACAAAATCCACAAATGGTCAATTAACTGATAAATCAGCGATAGTTTTATTTGCTAGACTTAAGAAATTGATATACTCATCAAAAAGGAGGAAAAACGATCATGCACGTGACTTGATATTGTGATATTTTTCTTCTCTCTCTCTCTCTCTTTCTCTCTCTCTACTAACTGGTACAGATATAAACAGACACGAAATAACATAGCAATGGATCATTATTTGATTTAATTAATATCAAATACTTCATTAAGAAGAAGGTATGATTTTAGCTTTATTGCACCCTAAAAATGTAATGACATCAAAAAGTTTTGAAACTGGCTTAGATATTAGTTAAATAAATGACTCTGATAAATCAGGAAAGAATATGGCATGAAGGTTTACCATTCTGCAAATATGACGTCATTAATGGGAAGCATTTCTCTATTTTCAACAGAAAAAGCCTCAAAATGGCACATTTCAATGGTGATTTTCCTTTAGAAAACAGTGTCCACAGCCATCGCCCACGTTAATTTTTTGATATTTTGTGCAAAATTCAATAACAAATCACATATCTCAAGATCTTTGTGGGCGATGCCTGTGGACAATGTTATCTGAAAGAAAATTTCATTGAAAAATGGTGTCTTCTGCAACTTTTTAAGGAAATACGGGAAAATGCACATGTTTATGACGTCATACTTAGCATTTAAAAACACATGTCAGAAAAATGACTTGTATGATTTTTTTGCATTGAATTTCAATTATTTGAAAAGCATGAGTTTTCAACTTTTACACCAGTTTCATTTTTTAGAGAATCACAGGGCAAAATTTGTATTGAAACCATACCTTCTTCTTTGTTTTAAAAGTTTTTTTTTTTTTACTTTTATTCTTTTTATACACTCCGTTTAAAAAAAGCAACAATAATTTGACACAAATTCCAAGGCTAATAACGCATCTGAAAATGATATCGATGAAATAATAATGAAACAATGAATCAAATGTGTTGTTGAATGGCTAGACAACGATGTGCACATCCAGCGAGCGTTACCCAAGGTATACGCCAAGACAGGTGAGAAACCCCCAGGGCATGTCGTTTCCTGCTCAGGCACTTCTAATCCCTATACACAGGAAATGATCGCGGCTAATACTTATTACACAAAGAAACAGAATTTGTCAAAGAAAACAAAAATATATGAATTTTTGCATTGAATATTTATTAATATAAACTATAATTTCGTTTGTGAAGTTTATCATTACACCTGCACATCCTATCTTATCTATTGAACACAAAAATCGAGAAATATTAAAATTAAAAAGAAAGACATTGTTTTAAAAAGTAATACATGTTAATATGAAGGTGAAAAACGATATTTTTTCTTGATCTCTTGTATAAAGTTCACGTGCTCAAAGTTAACTCTCGCCATCGAATGCTTTTCGGTCATTTGACAATTTGAGAAAAATGCCTGCACATTTATATAAAAAAGGGAAATAAATTAAAGAAAAGTTATCTTAATTTGGGAACAGAACATGAACGATGAGAAACAAAGAAGAAAAGAACTTTTTCTTGATATCTTTGATAAAGAAATTTTGCCAAGCAAATGCTCGTCATCGGAAGTTTTCCGGTAATTTGACACTTAAAGAAAAAGCCTGTACATTTTATATACAATAAATCGAAATTAATTAATAAACAATATGAAGA